TTGCTGAAGTGTCCTTTCTGGCAGTGGAATTTTGCTTCTCCACTATAAGACTGAAAATTTTATTCCACCTTTTTAGTTCACTTTCCGTTCCTGAGAACTGGGGAAAACTGATTTTGTATTCGGGCTATGAATTTGCCCAACTGTCAATCCACTGGACCAGACCTAAATAACTGCCAAGAGCTTTGCCAACCTCCGTTTCTTCCAGAGTGGTCAGTCTGCTGGGCTCATCCTCGCTCTTTCGTCTACAATTTGTCCCCAGGAAAGAAAGTAGCTAGTGATCACTAAGAAGCAGTCTTTCCCTTCAGAAATTTTAGTACATCTAGACCTTGCTGCTATCTGATGTCCGTAAAATGTGTTTGCTACAGTAGAACTTTGTTAGTAGCCTTGGGAGTATTGTCTGCTATGACCTATCATATCCCACCTGGAAGCAGAAGTTATATTTGTGAAATGTGAAGAAATTTGTCAATATATACTGCAAAACCAAAGTTTGAGAGTAGATTTAACGTGGAGTGTAATGGGGAAAGAAAGAGATCAGTCAGTTTCTGGATTGTAACTGGATAGATGTTGGTACAGTTCAGTAAGAGACACTACAAGATGATCTGACGTAGGCTGGGGGGAGGATACCATGAGTTAGTTTGTTATTTCTTTCTTATTTATGAAGGGAAGGTCTCATGTAGTCTATGATGGTCTCAAACTTGGCTTTGTTAATGACCTTGAACTTGCAATCCTCCTTTATGTTGGCATTATAGGCATGCCCTACCAGTCTAGCTCACAAATTTGGTTTTTCAATACAGAATAGCTCTGCGATGATTAGCTTTAAGTGTCAACTCGATGTAACTGAGAATCATCTGGGAAGAGTCTCAATGAAGGGATAGTCTATACTGGGGTGGGCTAAGGGCATGTTGGTAAGGGATTATCCTGGTTGTTAATTGATGTGGGAAGACTCAGCCCACTGTGAGCAGTACCATTCCCCGAGCAGGAGGTCTCAAGCATAAGAGGGGAGAAAGTGCCAGGCTGTGGTGGTGCACACTTTTAATCCTAGCACTCTGAAGGCAGAGGCAGGTGGATCTCTGTGAATTCAAAGCCATCCTGGTCTACAGAGCAAGTTCTAGGACAGGCTCCAAAGCTACAGTGAAACCCTGTCTCAAAAAAACAAACCAAGCCAAAGCAAACAAACAAACAAAAAAGAGAAAGCTTGCTAACAACAAGCCAGGATCCAGGTGTTCATTCTTTTTCTGTTCTTGACTGTGGATGAGATGCTTTTAGTCCCTGCCTTGACTTTCTGGAAATCACGGACCATATCCTAGAATTGCAAGGCAAATAAACCTTTTCCTTTTCTAAGTTGTTTTATGCCAGGATATTTTATAACAGCAACAGAAATGAAACTAGAACAGGCACTAAAATTTTTAGGTTAGGATCTGAACCTAAGGCTGTTGTAATTCACAAGAATAGGGACCACTGGAAGGGAATCTCATTTTAATGGCAAAATCATGTGTTTGTTTCTGGATATGCTGAATTTTTAAGTATCTTTGAGATTTTCAAGAAGTTAGCTAGATTTAGAGATTTGAATTTCAGAAAAGAGGTCAGGGATTGAGCTATATTTTAAGGACATTTCAGAGAAAATGGATGTCACTGGTCCGAATGTAACTACCTCAGTTGAGAATACAAAGTGGAACGGGAAGGAAGCCCAGGCCAGTCTTGAGGAACTCCTGCACTAAACAACCAGACAAACCCCCTCTTTAATTTGTATTCCTGCCAATGCATCAAATACTCAAATGACTTGTTTATTACATTATTCTGTTAGTAAATCAGACGAATTTATCTAGGCAAATTCTGCTTATTATCCAGACTTTCATCAGTTCCTTACCAATTTTGAAATTCTGTAAAGGGAATCCACAGATCCTGTAGACTGCTTTAGACATTTTTCAGTTTTTTTTTTTCCAACTGCAGGTCATGATTCAGTGGGTCATGAAATGAATTTAGTGGGTTCTGATTAGCATTTCAAAATGAGGCAAACAGAAGGCGAATTGTCACAGCACATGCAGTGAGCATCCACACATTCTTGCTTGGCGACTTAACCAGTCTGACGGCTCTAAAAGCCACAGAGCTTTCCCAGGTTTCTATCTCCAACCCAGGCCTCTCTCTTAAATTCCAAGCATGCTTGGACATTGCCATTGGGTATCCACTGGACACATGCAACTCAAATACGAAGTGTGGATTATCTTTCTCCATCTGTGGGCCCCAGATACGGCAATGTCATCCTTCTATATTCTTCCTGGGGTCACTTTTACTTCACAACACATCTCATCTCAAGAACTGCTATTAAACTCACCTCTGAATCCAATGCTTCTTCCTACCCTAACTATAGCTCCTGCTGCTGCCTGTCCTTAACACAGCAGAGTGAGTCTTTAAAACAGGGCTCAGGACCAGTGAGACTGTTCAGACCTAAAGGCACTTCCTGCCAAGTCTGATGAGTTCAATCCTAGGACCCAAGTGGTAGAAGGAGAGATCCAACTCCCAGAGCTGCCCTTTGACCTCCACATGTGCGTGTGTATGCCATACACATACACAAAAGTAAAAGAAATTAAATAGAAAACTGTTAAAGAGAAATCAGGGCTCAGCCAATTTTTCATGTAGAAGGCTAGAGTATTTCGTCTTTACAAACCAGGAAGAAAATTTTAGTCTATTATAGTTACTCACATAGCAAGCAGATTTCTAACATCTTTTGACAAAAGTAAAACTATAACGGTAGAGTAAGCTGGGCGGTAGTGGTGCACACCTTTAATTCCAGCACTTGGGAGGCAGAGGCAGGAGGATCTCTGTGAGTTTGAGGCCAATCTGGTCTACAGAATGAGTTCCAGGACAACCAGACTGTTTCACAGAGAAATCCTGTCTCAAAAAAACCAAAACCCAAACCAAAACAAAACAAAAAACCACTACCACTGGCCAGGCGGTGGTGGCGCACGCCTTTAATTCTAGCACTTGGGGAGGGAGGGGTGTGCCGAGGCAGGCAGATCTCTGTGAGTTCGAGGCCAGCCTGGTCTATAAGAGCTAGCTCCAGGACAGGATCCAAAGCTACAGAGAAAACCTGTCTGGAAAAACAAAACCAAATAAACAAAAAACCCCACCACCAAAAAAAGCCAAAAACAAAACCCATGTTATTTTGCTTAATTAGGGTTCAAGACCAACGCTCCTTATCCTAAAATCAACTGCGAATGTTTATCAGGTAAAACCATCCTAAGAGAAGAACATCCAGTTGGAGGAATCTCATCCTGCAGGTTGTTTGCTCATCTCTGCTTGAAAACAGTCAGCTCACATCACTCTCCTCTCAAGCCTCACCAACTAGTTTGCTATTGCTATTCAACAGACTCCCCAAGCTGAGCAGCTCAAAATAACAGCCATTTATTACCCGCACAGTCCTGTGGGTCAGAAGCTTAAGCAGGCTTGGCTGCCTCTCTGCTCAGGTTCTCACAAGCTGAAAACACTCTATGGAGGGTATGGGAAAGAGCTTCTCACAGGCTCACTGAGTTGCTGGCAGAAGTCAGTTCCTGTGATCGTCTGAGGTCGTTATTTCTTATGGCATGATTTGTGCCACCTGTTTTTCAGGCGCCCACTACCTGTCCCATTACCTACTATTTTCCCTCTACTCTCAACTCGTTCTGTTGTGGTCCAGACTAGCTTGCTTGCTATTGCTTGAACCTGCTCAGTGCGCGCACATTCACATCCTTTCCTGGTGATCTTTGTCATTTGACTTTTTTGTTCCAATTTTTATTATTTGAGCTGCTGAAATAACCACTTTTTTTTTTTTTGAGAGTCTCACTATATTGCCCTTGCTGGCCTAGAACTCTCTACATAGGCCAGTCTATCGGCTTCAGCCTCCAGAGTGCAGGACTAATGTTACTGAGTGCTCCGTGGCAACCGATAATATTTACTGAACAAGTGATCAGGTGGTGCTCAGCCCCAATGGATACCTTTACAATCCAACTCTAGCAGCAAAGGTTCAGAAAACGTGGAGAAAAAGGAGGGTGGAAAAATGCTCTTAGAGCCACACAAAGTCTGCTCTGAGACTGTGTCTCCTAGAAATGCCAGGGAAGCTACACCTATAAAGACTCAGCCACATGGCTGCCTAAACAAGACCTGAATAAGGATGACACCAATATAAAGGTTAACCTGAAAGGGGAAAAACTTCTCACAGGGGTTCAACGTTAGACAAAGAACTACACGCAACTGAAGAACGTTGAGAGTGGGAGACATAGTCTTCTCCAGGGAAGCCAGCCCCCATTGGCCATGCAATACCACATGATCAGTCCTGAACTCAGACACATACAGGTAACATTATATGGAATGGACAGGCTGTATTTATATATTTAGAAACACACAGAGACACACACTGCAACTTAAAAAAAAAAGAGGCCGTAAATTTGAGAGAGAACAAGAGCAAGATGGGGAGGGTTACATGGGAAGGTTGGAAGGAGGAAATGATGTAATTGTATTTTAATTTCAGAAAATAAAAAATTAAAAATAATATTCATTGAATAGCCGAAACTTGGGAAAGTCTACTGCTTTCTACATATGCATGCTTACTAGGTTGTGACATATCATGTCTAGCTTATCGATGAATGTAGTCCACAGAATTTGAAAATTACTGGGGCTAGACTATATGATTTCTAGGATTCTTTCCCAACTATAGCATTTAACGAATTCTCTGGGCAGCTACATGATCTGCAGCACATATCCTTTGAGGGACAAGAAGGTTTATGGCCTTAGGACGACAGCAAGACACTAAATTACTGAAATATAACACATACCAAAAAAGGAAAATAATTATCTCTACACATTCTATAATCACAGACTGGGAAATGTGAAAACAGACAAGAACTGCTCAACGCCCCATAGTATAAAAACATAAAACTACTCTTTTCATCAGAAGATAAAACTTCAGATCTAATGACAAGAACGTTTTCCAGATTAAAATTTCCCTCAAGTTTCCATTTGCTTACTGCAGAAGGGAAGCGGAACGCAGAAAGATGTCATTCAGTGTCTCTGCTGTAGAAATTGTGTCCTGCACAGACTTGGGGAGTAAAGCCCACTTGTCAAGCAGGTAGGATATCCATTTGTCCACAGGCAGATCCATGCTACCTTCACACTGCAAAGTTAGAGAACAAGGATTCAGCTTCCTATAAATGCACAATTCTAGAAAGTCAAGAAGCAACAAAATCAATTCTTCAGGTCTTTTTCTATAGCTGTTGATATGTGGAAGGAGATATAATCGGTGGTACCAAGTCACTGGACATCCTGTCATTCAGAAATGGTCTTTGGAAGACTGTTCGAGAAACTATGATAGATAGTGGTTATATAAACATGGCATTTGATTCATATTCCAGTCCTTCTAGACCCCTGTTTATCCTAGATGTCCAAGGCCTTCACCCCCAGCAACTATGAAGTTAAAATTTTAATTTCTAAGGTGCTTCAGTTTTCTGTTTCAATCTCCAGATCTTTCCTTCAGTTCATAGGCTCAGATATTTGTTGCTGCTTTTCTTGCTTTTTGAGGAGTATTGTAGCCCTGACTGGCTTCGAACTCGCAGAAATCTGTCTGCTTCTACTTCCTGAGCGCCACCACGCCAGGACCCCAAATTTTTAATTTTTGAGGGTCTCAGGTAGTCTAGTCTGACTTCGAATTTACTAAGTTGTTAAGGATGACCTTGAACTTTTGCTGCCTCCACGCCTCAAAGGCTGGGATTACAGACCACACACCAGGCTCTCCAGTACTTTGGCCATTCGTGCTTTTAGGAACACCACTACCCTCGCTCGGAATCCACCTGACAAATTCCCACACATATTTGACTCAGTTTAAACGGCATCTCCTCTCGAAAGCCTCATCTATCCCCGCTCCTCCCCCTACTCTAGGGCTTCACCACCCGTGTGGCCCAAATCGCGTCTCCGGTGAGGTTGGGCACAACTCCCAGGTCGGGCGACGCTCTTCTGAGGGCAGAGACTGAGCCTGATTTACCTTGTTTATCCCACAGTGTCAAGCTCTGGGCCTGGCGCGGGCGCCGGGCACGCACTGCGTGCATGAAGGACTCAGATTACTGCTTTGACTATATTTAGCAGCAGAGTTACCAGGGAACACCTCCGATTATCCCCTGGGCTGCCATTCTGTCCATCCGCCAAACGGGCGGGCAAACTTCCGACAGCTGGCAAGGTACCAACTCAGCGGCACCAAGCAGACACCGCCGTACGGAAGTGCAGAGCCCCGCCCTCAGTCCCCTCCATCCCGCCACTAGGCCTCGAACCCGGCCTCACATGGGTCACGTGCTCCGCTCGCCGCGCGGTGGCCAATGCGGTGGCTGCCGGCGCCTAGGTCCGCCCCTCGCACCGCGCGTACGTCGGGGGCGGGAGCTGCTCTGGCCAATCGGTGAGCAGCCCGCGGGACCCTCGGCAGTGAGGCTCGGGCGGTGCTGGAGCGCGAGCGCGGGAGTTAGCGGTGCAGTCATGGCGGGACACCTGAGCGAGGGGGCCATTGCGGTAAGAAGCGGGGCCGATAGCTCTGGTAGAACGAGCCTGGAGCGGTGCAAAGCAGATGGGGAGGGAGCCGCTGTTGAACCGGAGAGCAGCAGGGAGGAGATTGCGTGACCACGGGGGAAGCCTCCCGGGGTCTCAGTGGTTCTCACCCCCATCCCCTCGAGGCATGCCGGTCCCCGCAAACAAGCTCACGTTCCTTCTACCTAAGAAAATAAGACAAATAAACATATACCTATTTACCTTCTGCGGCCTGTCTTTCCTCCCTTTCCCCATCGCCTCCAAACTTTTCTAGAAGTTGTTTTCGGCGGTTTGATTTTTTTTCTTTTTCTTTTTTTACCTCTTCTTAACGCTTTACTCCTATTAGACTTTTCTCTGTTCACGAGAGAAAACGTTGACCGAAGTCATCATGTAGCCAAGTCCGGAAGACGTTTTTTAGTTTTCAGCTGATCTTATTGTTTGGGCTTGTTGGCCAAAACTTGTTTCTGCACATTAGTCTCTTGCTAAGGTTCTGTGTTGTCTGCTCTTTCCTTGTCTTATTTGCAAGCCCCTCTGTATATTTTTCTTGACTCGAGGCCCTCATCTGCATGTCAATTGCGCATTAATTCTTGCTGAGCTACCTTCTGTCTTAAGGACCGTCTCTGCCCGCTACCCTCAAAGTTATGTCTGAATTTAGAAAGAATTACTTGTGTGTGTCTGTGTAGATAGGTATAGATACCTTGACGTGGGGATAGCCTTGGAAGCCAGAGAACAATTTCGTGAAGTTGTTGGAAGTTGTTGGTTCTCTCACGCAAATTCTCTGAGTTCTGGGGATTGAACTCAGGTATCCAGGCTTGCACAACAGGCACCCACAGAGCCATTTTGCTGGCCCTGAGTCTGAATTTCTGGATGTCTCTGTCCCAATGAATTACACCATTATCCTTTAATTTAAACTAGTTAGGAATCCTCCTTCCCACGTTATGCCTGGTCCGTCACCAATTGAAGTATTATTATTATCATTTTTTTAATTTATTTTTTATTTTTTTTGGATTTTCGAGACAGGGTTTCTCCGTAGCTTTTGGTTCCTGTCCTGGAACTAGCTCTTGCAGACCAGGCTGGCCTCGAACTCACAGAGATCCGCCTGCCTCTGCCTCCCGAGTGCTGGGATTAAAGGCGTGAGCCACCACCGCCCGGCTCAATTGACATATTATTTTAACTCCACACAGATCTCTGAGTCATCTGCTTTCCATCCACACTGGAACAACCATTTGTCGTCTGAACTGGTCACTTCCAGTCAACACACTCTGTCCCCACAGTCTCTGCTTACTGTCCCCTTGCCAGACCTTGTCTGTCTTTCTGTCTTTTTTAAAATAAATTCTTGCCCTAGAGGCCATTGCTATTTCTTTTGCTAACAGAATGTTCCAGTTCAGCTCAGTTGTTCCTGAGTTGGTTGGCAAAGAAACTGGACTGAATTCATTTATTTTGAAATTTGTAAATTTTTTTGTTCTGTTATTATAGTATGACTTTGGGCGCCATTCTGAACGCTTTCCCTAGTCTGAAGAATGAGGGTAATGTTGAGTACCCATTGCACAGGGCTGGTGGGAGGACAGTTTCTGGGTTTGTGTGTCGTGCCTGCTGATGCAGTAGTCACCACAGATGTAAAGGCACGTTTATTTGACTAATATTAGTTACTTTGTGTTTCCTACCCTAGGCTGTAGAGACTGTGAGGCCTGCAGCCACTTTCCATTTCCCTTCCTTCAAGTTTTAGGTGCCTAATAAGTGTTTGCTGGTTGTATGAACAGTGAAACAGTAGAAAGAAAGGGACAAAGGTGGGAGGGCAGGAAAGAACCAGCTTAGAAGAAAATAAGAAGGGGAAAAGCAGTTGTCAGAATCAAAGGAATATTTGACTACCTTAGGCATGTATTACTGTTGAAGCTAGGGTCCTGATCAACATTATGGCTGCCACCTTGTATCCTTAAGACAAATTACAAATGATACTTTAATTTTTTGTTTGGTTTTTCAAGGCAGGGTTTCTCTGTTGCTTTGGAGCCTGTCTTGGAACTCTCTCTTTAGACCAGGCTGGCCTTGAACTCACAGAGATCACTGCTTCCGCCTCTGGAGTGCTGGGAGTGTTGGACCTTGATGGGCTCTGTAGTGTATCAAGGTGTTGATGGTGATGGAGTGTGCAGGCCCCTGGTTACCTGGTTACTAGCTAACAGAAGTGTCATTTTAGCACAAAAGCTTCCAGCCCCATTGGATAAGCAAATAGCAGAAAATGCAGCTATTGGGGGCAGAAGTTATAAAATGAGGTTATGCTTGGAACTATTGTGATAAATAGGATAAGTACAAAACTATTTACTTACTGTCCTCAAGAGTGGAGATCAAACCCAGGACCTCAGTCGTGTGTACTAGGCAAGCACTCTACTGCTAAACTATACCTCTGGCCAGCCCTTTGTGTATATATTTACATAATTCAGTTATAGGGAAAAAAGACAAGGAAATTAATATTTTTATGATTTCCAATATCAGTTCTTATTTTTCTTATCAATGTCACATTTTACAGCCAAAGGAGTTAAAATGCAAAGAGGTATAAACTGCTCATTTCCTTGACTTACATTTTGTTGCTTTGTGATTTTTTTTTATTAGTAATGTAATTTGAAAATTTTAATGTACTTTTTAAAAAAGATTTGTTTATGTATTTTATATATATATATATATATATATGGATGTTTTGTCTACATGGACATCTGCATACCAAAGGCATCAGATTGCTTTATTATAGACAGTTGTGAGTCACCATTGGAGTACTAGAAGTTGAAGTCAGAACCTATGGGAAGAGCAGCCAGTGCTCTTAACCCCTGAGCCATCTCTCCAGCCCCAATTTAAGGTACTTTTAAGTGTATGTGTTATGATATGTCTCAGAGAAAATTTTTCCTTTGAGTGTTTATAATACATTTTAAATTAAGAACAATAAAGTAATAATCTGCATGTGAATTTAAAGTTAAACAGAATAGAAAGGTGCTTAATGAAATCATTGCCCTTTGCTTCACCTTGCCCATGGCTTTTTTGGTGTATTTTTTTTTTCCAAGACAGGGTTTCTCTGTGTTGCCCTGGCTGTCCTGGAACTCGCTCTGTAGGCCATGCTGGCTTCAAACTCCTGGCCTCACCTGCCTCTGCTTTCCAAGTGCTGGGATTAAAGACAGGTGTCACCACTGCCTGGCGGATTTGGTGTTTTGTTTGTTTTTTGTTTATTTTTTGACCCAGTGTTTTTGAAACAGGGTCTGGCCTTGGAGTCTAAGGCCTCTACCTCTCTTAGCTCAGGCTGGCTTCCACCTGTGGTAGTCCTCCTACCTCTGCCTCTCGAGTGGTGGGATTACAAATGTAAACTATCACACCCAAGCCAGAAGAAATAACTTTTCAAAGAAAAAGTTGTCCATGGGGGACCTGCAAGATGGCTCAGTGGGTAAAGCACCAAGTTTGGTGAGATCAGGGTTTGATCCCCAGCACCTACATGGTGGAAAGAGAAGGGACTGACTCCTGCAAGTTGTCCTCTGAGCTACACACACACACAAAATACAACACACACACAATGACTAAAGATTTAAAAACAGGGGGCTGGAGAGATGGCTCAGTGGTTAAGAGCATTGCCTGCTCTTCCAAAGGTCCTGAGTTCAATTCCCGGCAACCACATGGTGGCTCACAACCATCTGTAGGGAGGTCTGGCGCCCTCTTCTGGCCTTCAGGCATACAGACAGAATATTGTATACATAATAAATAAATAAATATTTAAAAAAAAAAAAAAAAAAAAAAAAAAAGATTTAAAAACAACAATAGTCATATAGCTGTAAACCAAGTTAGGCAGAGGTTGGAAGTTCAAGGCCAGTTTAGGCTGCAAGATCCTATCTCAAAGTATGAAGAAAAAAAAGGTCCAGAGATGGTAGAGTGCTTGCCTACTTTATATAAAGCCCTAGGTTTAATCCCAGCACTGTACAAAACTTGTAATGTGGTGGTTGGTCTGTCAGCAATCTCAGCACTTGAGAGGTAGAGGTAGGAGGATTAGTACTTATCCACATAGTTCAGTGCCAACCTGGTCTGTGTGAGACCCTCCCAAAAAAGTACAGGGGCAGTGGGGGAATTGTAGTTTCAGTTTTGCTTTGGTTCTTTTTTGAGAAACAGTCTCATTATACTCTACAGATTGGCTTTGAACTCCTGGCCTCAGCCGTTTCCTGTTTCCTTCCGCCTGCCAAGTAGATGGAACTGTAGGCCTGTGCCCAACTTTATTTTTATTTTTTGGCTATTGTAAATGAAGATACTTTGAACATTTATGTACAGATCTTTATAATATAAATATTTTAATATATCACATAAATTATTCATAATATATACATAAATTATGTAATATGTATTAAATTCCTTGTATTTGTAAAATAATCCAGATATTTACAGATAAATACCTGAGAGTGCAACGGCTAGGTCATATGGTAACTGAATGCTTAATTTGATAGAAGTCTCCAGCTTCTCCAGCATGTTTATGGAGATTCTTGTTGCCAGTACTGTCGATCTCTGTTTGGCTATCCAGATGAATGTGTGCGTGGAATGCTGGCTCACTGTCATCTGTATTCCTTGATTAGGAATGACATTGAACATCCTTTGGTGTCTTTATCGTCCATTTGTATAGCTTGTGAAGTGTCCACATTTTCTGTTGTCTTGAATTTGGTTTTATGTAGCCTGTGGTAGTATGTGACTGTTTGCCCCAGTTCAGGA